CATTATGACACTTGCCTCAAACTGAAATGTCCCACAAGTAATCCATTCTGTGCGATATTCAGATTTTCTATATTCTTCTTCGCCTCAGGGATAAGTAATCGCGAACCGTTCCTTCAATTAAAACTTTGTTGGGCTGCGGTATTGGTGGGATATTTTTATTTCAGGACGGTTACAATCATGTCTTTGTCCAACAGAATAACCAATCTCACGCCATGTTCGAATGACGTACTGAATCACGCCCAGCGCGTCTCAAGGGTTGGAGGGAATTTCTTGACAGCTTTCGACATTGGCCGTTCTCAAAGATTTGATGAATAGAGCAGGCTGAAAGTCCTTATCATACCATTTTTCGCATTCTGGCCGCCCTTGGAGCGTGTAAACCGTACTTCCTGTTATTTTTAGCCTGTCCTTTTGCGACGAGAGATCTGGAAAAGGTCAATCGTAAAAGGTGTTAAGATTGTAATACCTGTCAGTCTCCATTGGCTATCATAACGAATTCTAACCGGAACTCATTGTGCTTGTCAACGAAAATCTGTCTGATCTCATCCGTCATTCCATTACCCACGGGGCAATGTGTCCCTGAAAAGTGCTTTGGCAGTGATCCAACTCATAAATCAAGAAATCACTAAAACTTCGATAAACCCACCAGGCGCTCCCGATGCATATGGTAACACCTAAATATTTTCCTAATTATTCTTGAAAACCACATAATGAGGATTACTGTACATTCACCTCCGTGGAAACTGGATGGCATGTTAGGGGAGAACGGGTCCACAGCTGCAGTAGCGTTCCACTTTGTCCTGTCAAAGTGCACCGGGCTGGAGGGTAGTGATTTCTGAATGCCATCACACTCCTGGATACCATCTCCACACACACACACACACACACACACACACACACACACACACACACACACACACACACACACACACACACACACACACACACACACACACACACACACACACACACACACACACACACACACACACACACCCGCGGCTGCCGCACCTCCACCGAGACGCCCAGCCATAGCCAAACAAGCTGCTTCTCTGCGCCCTCTCACTTCTGGTTGTTCTCTACCGCAGGTGTGTGTGTCTGCCCCGTTTCACTTTTGAGTAGAGAAAGTGAACACGCGATCCGCAGCCGCGGACATTTACTCGCCCATGGGAAGCGACAGAGCCGGCGTTCTGGTGTATATTCATTGTCCGCAATGTAGAATTGAAAACGCTCAACCACGGCCAGGACCACCGCAATTGAGTTTCAGCATTGCTTTCGTTTTTTTTTTTTCTTTTTGTCTACTTCAGACGAAGATCCTAATCGGCGATGTGCTTGTGTTCTCTACAGCGCTGTAGGTGAGCCGCTTCCAACAGTAGGGAATCCGACCCCTTAAACCAGAGCCCTGAATCCGAGAAAATCACCGATCACGAAAGCAGTTATATCGCAT